ACTAGTCTGCCTTGTACACTACTGATATCAGACCACCTCAACCCATCTGCCTTGTACACTACTGATATATCCCACCTCAACCCAGTCTGCCTTGTACACTACTGATATCAGACCACCTCAACCCATCTGCCTTGTACACTACTGATATTATCCCACCTAAACTAGTCTGCCTTGTACACTACTGATATCGACCACCTCAACCCATCTGCCTTGTACACTACTGATATCAGACCACCTCAACCCATCTGCCTTGCACACTACTGATATTATCCCACCTAAACCAGACTGCCTTGTACACTACTGATATCAGACCACCTCAACCCATCTGCCTTGCACACTACTGATATTATCCCACCTAAACTAGTCTGCCTTGTACACTACTGATATCGACCACCTGAACCCATCTGCCTTGCACACTACTGATATTATCCCACCTCAACTAGTCTGCCTTGTACACTACTGATATCAGACCACCTCAACCCATCTGCCTTGTACACTATTGATATCAGACCACCTCAACCCATCTGCCTTGCACACTACTGATATTATCCCACCTCAACTAGTCTGCCTTGTACACTACTGATATTATCCCACCTCAACTAGTCTGCCTTGCACACTACTGATATTATCCCACCTAAACTAGTCTGCCTTGCACACTACTGATATCAGACCACCTAAACTAGTCTGCCTCGTACACTACTGATATCGACCACCTCAACCCATCTGCCTTGTACACTACTGATATCAGACCACCTCAACCCATCTGTCTTGCACACTACTGATATTATCCCACCTAAACTAGTCTGCCTCGTACATTACTGATATCGACCACCTCAACCCATCTGCCTTGTACACTACTGATATTATCCCACCTAAACTAGTCTGCCTCGTACACTACTGATATCAGACCACCTCAACCTATCTGGCTTGTACACTACTGATATTATCCCACCTCAACTAGTCTGCCTTGCACACTACTCATATTATCCCACCTAAACTAGTCAGCCTTGTACACTACTGATATCAGACCACCTCAACCCATCTGCCTTGTACACTACTGATATTATCCCACTAAACAAGTGTGCATTGTACACTACGGATATTATCCCACCTAAACTAGTCTGCCTTGCACACTACTGATATCAGACCACCTCAACCCATCTGTCTTGTACACTACTGATATCAGACCACCTCAACCCATCTGCCTTGCACACTACTGATATTATCCCACCTAAACTAGTCAGCCTTGTACACTACTGATATTATCCCACCTAAACTAGTCTGCCTTGTACACTACTGATATCAGACCACCTCAACCCATCTCTTGCCTATCCCACCTCCAACCACTGCCTTGTACACTACTGATATCCCACCTCAACCCATCTGCCTTGCACACTACTGATATTATCCCACCTCAACTAGTCTGCCTTGTACACTACTGATATTATCCCACCTAAACTAGTCTGCCTTGCACACTACTGATATTATCCCACCTAAACTAGTCTGCCTTGCACACTACTGATATTATCCCACCTCAACTAGTCTGCCTTGTACACTACTGATATTATCCCACCTAAACTAGTCTGCCTTGCACACTACTGATATTATCCCACCTAAACTAGTCTGCCTTGCACACTACTGATATCAGACCACCTAAACTAGTCTGCCTTGTACACTACTGATATCAGACCACCTCAACCCATCTGCCTTGTACACTACTGATATCAGACCACCTCAACCCATCTGCCTTGCACACTACTGATATTATCCCACCTAAACTAGTCTGCCTTGTACACTACTGATATCAGACCACCTCAACCCATCTGCCTTGTACACTACTGATATTATCCCACCTAAACTAGTCTGCCTTGTACACTACTGATATCGACCACCTCAACCCATCTGCCTTGTACACTACTGATATCAGACCACCTCAACCCATCTGCCTTGCACACTACTGATATTATCCCACCTAAACTAGTCTGCCTTGTACACTACTGATATCAGACCACCTCAACCCATCTGCCTTGTACACTACTGATATTATCCCACCTCAACTAGTCTGCCTTGTACACTACTGATATTCGACCACCTGAACCCATCTGCCTTGCACACTACTGATATTATCCCACCTCAACTAGTCTGCCTTGTACACTACTGATATCATCCCACTCTCAACCCATCTGCCTTTGCACACTACTTGATATCAGACCACCTCAACCCATCTGCCTTGTACACTACTGATATTATCCCACCTAAACTAGTCTGCCTTGTACACTACTGATATTATCCCACCTCAACTAGTCTGCCTTGCACACTACTGATATTATCCCACCTAAACTAGTCTGCCTTGCACACTACTGATATCAGACCACCTAAACTAGTCTGCCTTGTACACTACTGATATCAGACCACCTCAACCCATCTGCCTTGTACACTACTGATATCAGACCACCTCAACTAGTCTGCCTTGCACACTACTGATATTATCCCACCTAAACTAGTCTGCCTTGTACATTGATATTCGACCACCTGATATCTGTCCCACTACTGATATTATCCCACCTAAACTAGTCTGCCTTGTACACTACTGATATAATCCCACCTCAACTAGTCTGCCTTGTACACTACTCATATTATCCCACTTCAACTAGTCTGCCTTGCATACTACTGATATTATCCCACCTAAACTAGTCTGCCTTGCACACAACTGATATCAGACTACCTAAACTAGTCTGCCTTGTACACTACTGATATCGACCACCTCAACCCATCTGCCTTGTACACTACTGATATCAGACCACCTCAACCCATCTGCCTTGCACACTACTGATATTATCCCACCTAAACTAGACTGCCTTGTACACTACTGATATCAGACCACCTCAACCCATCTGCCTTGTACACTACTGATATTATCCCACCTAAACTAGTCTGCCTTGTACACTACTGATATCGACCACCTCAACCCATCTGCCTTGCACACTACTGATATTATCCCACCTCAACTAGTCTGCCTTGTACACTACTGATATCAGACCACCTCAACCCATCTGCCTTGTACACTACTGATATCAGACCACCTCAACCCATCTGCCTTGCACACTACTGATATTATCCCACCTCAACTAGTCTGCCTTGTACACTACTGATATTATCCCACCTCAACCCATCTGCCTTGCACACTACTGATATTATCCCACCTCAACTAGTCTGCCTTGTACACTACTGATATCACCACCTCACATTACACTACTGATATCAGACCACCTTAACCCATCTGCCTTGCACACTACTGATATTATCCCACCTCAACTAGTCACCCTTGCACACTACTGATATTATCCCACCTCAACTAGTCTGCCTTGTACACTACTGATATCAGACCACCTCAACCCATCTGCCTTGCACACTACTGATATTATCCCACCTAAACTAGTCTGCCTTGCACACTACTGATATTATCCCACCTCAACTAGTCTGCCTTGTACACTACAGATATTATCCCACCTAAACTAGTTTGACTTGCACACTAGTGATATTATCCCACCTAAACTAGTCTGCCTTGCACACTACTGATATTATCCCACCTAAACTAGTCTGCCTTGCACACTACTGATATTATCCCACCTGAACTAGTCTGCCTTGTACACTACTGATATTATCCCACCTCAACTAGTCTGCCTTGTACACTACTGATATCAGACCACCTCAACCCATCTGCCTTGTACACTATTGATATCAGACCACCTCAACCCATCTGCCTTGCACACTACTGATATTATCCCACCTAAACTAGTCTGCCTTGTACACTACTGATATTATCCCACCTCAACTAGTCTGCCTTGCACACTACTGATATTATCCCACCTAAACTAGTCTGCCTTGTACACTACTGATATCGACCACCTCAACCCATCTGCCTCGTACACTACTGATATCAGACCACTTTAACCCATCTGCCTTGCACACTACTGATATAATCCCACCTCAACTAGTCTGCCTTGCACACTACTGATATTATCCCACCTCAACTAGTCTGCCTTGTACACTACTGATATCAGACCACCTCAACCCATCTGCCTTGCACACTACTGATATTATCCCACCTAAACTAGTCTGCCTTGCACACTACTGATATTATCCCACCTCAACTAGTCTGCCTTGTACACTACAGATATTATCCCACCTAAACTAGTCTGCCTTGCACACTAGTGATATTATCCCACCTAAACTAGTCTGCCTTGCACACTACTGATATTATCCCACCTAAACTAGTCTGCCTTGCACACTACTGATATTATCCCACCTGAACTAGTCTGCCTTGTACACTACTGATATTATCCCACCTCAACTAGTCTGCCTTGTACACTACTGATATCAGACCACCTCAACCCATCTGCCTTGTACACTACTGATATTATCCCACCTCAACTAGTCTGCCTTGCACACTACTGATATTATCCCACCTAAACTAGTCTGCCTTGTACTCTACTGATATTATCCCACCTCAACTAATCTGCCTTGTACACTACTGATATCAGACCACCTCAACCCATCTGCCTTGCACACTACTGATATTATCCCACCTCAACTAGTCTGCCTTGCACACTACTGATATCATCCCACCTCAACCCATCTGCCTTGTACACTACTGATATCATCCCACCTCAACTAGTCTGCCTTGTACACTACTGATATGAGACCCTTTTCAGGGTTCAAACCAACTGAAAACTGACTTTCCAACTCAAACAGAGATCATCTTGCCTTCATCTCTTATTAAAAGATTGTCCTTTTCAGCAAAATTTTAGAGCTTTGACTGTTGTAATACTCTGGTAATTTGTAAGAGTCATAATTCTGAAATTCATGTCAAAACCCTTGTGTCATCCAACAGTGCCAGGCTGGTTTACACTAACTGGTTAGAAACACATTTAGAGAATAGGTGCAAATAAACAACACCTGCTTACTAAGACAGCATAATATGTGAATATAACACCAAATTATGTTTTATAGAAATTTATCAGCATGTTCATTATCAAAATGTACAACAATGTATATATAACAATACTTTCCACAAATACAGTTCAGACTATTATTCTGACGTTGATTCTTTAGACGGCACCTTGAGTTTGAGTGTCAGTTTGGACTTTCTGAACTGGTTGTCAGAACCACTGCTCTCACCACCAGGGGAAGAGTATATATGTGAGGGAGTATACGTCACTTTAGTAGAATAATTGGGATCAGATTTTGCAAAGTCAAATGGGTCATGATCTTTCGGACTTTTCTGAGTCTTTCGTTTGCGTTTATGCTTAGACTCTTTGTCCTTATGTTTTTCAACAGGTTTTTCCATATAACCCGGTTCTTCCCTGATTGACACTTTATCACGTTTAATTTGCAATTTAAGTCCTGGCTGCCTTTTAATTTTCAACTTAATTCCTTTATTAGGATCACTGATACTTGTGACTGCCATAGTCTGAGGTTCCTCGAAAGACTCCTCTTCTGACTTCTCCTCTGATTCCTCCGACTCCTCGTCCCACTTCCCTCTTTTCCCTGAACCACCTTCCTCCCCACTCAAACTATGCTCACTGTCCGCTTCACCATGCACTTCTTCCTCCTCCTCTTCCATCAAGAAGTCGTCATCATCTTCTTCATCTTCATTTGGGTAAGTCACAGGAGGTTGTCGAGGAGTCTACGTCGAGTGTCAGGGAACAAAGTTCGCTGAGATTCCTCATACAACCTTGTCTGTTTCTCAATTTCTCTTCGCTGTTTTTCCTCATATATTCGCCTAATTTCATCCTGTCTACGCTGTTGTTCTTCCTCATACAGCTTCCTCTGTTTCTCTTCCTCCAGCCTGAGCCTCTCCTGAATCACTCGCTGTCTTCGTTCTTCCTCTTCTCGCTTTAATCTCTCAATCCGTTCACGCTCTCTTCTCTCTCTTTCAATCTTCTCTCGTTCACGCCGTTCTTTCTCCTCTCGCTCTCTTCTCTCCTTCTCCAGCTTCTGTTGAATCCGTACCTGTTCCATGAAGTCCTCAAGAAGTTGTTCACCACTTTTTGCCCCCTCCCCCTCAAACAACTTGACAATCTCCTCCTTCTTCTCTATCTTGAACATGTGTCTCTGCTTTGGTTCTGGCATCCTTCTGGACAGTGAGTCACCAAAATATTCATACAATTCTTTGTATATTTCACAAGGAGTCTTTTTTACACACAAAAGTTTCTGTCCCACTGTTGTCTGGTGTACCTGAGTCTTCTGCATCAGATTGGAAGTATTGCTTTTCAAAGTCGTTGTTTCTACGCTTTAACACTAACTCCGCAGCAAGCTGAAAAAAACCCAAAAAAAACCATAAGAGCTTCAGGGGTTAAACCATCATTCAACCATGTTATAACAAGGGTTGCACAATGATAAGGAAAGATGAAATGTGGTTTGAGGTCATGATCAAGATTATTGCACTTACAAAGGTGTGTGCATGTGTTAGTGTGGCTTCTTATGTTAGTCGGGACATTATCATGCTAGGTCACTGAAACACCCTGCTGTAGCTATGCATGAATACCCGACTCAGGTTGACAACTGATCCACAGCAACTAATGTTTGAAGAGGCCACTAAGGAGATCAGGTGATCTGGCCCAGTCACTTCATCATTGATCCCAAAATTGATGAGATCAGTGATCATGATCTCTATCACTGGACTGTCAGCTCCAGGCTCAATCATTTACCGACTGCCGTCATATATAACATATGTCATACTTGAGATTACACTTTCTCAGTAACGTACAGAGTCTCGTACTTTCATAGTTTGAGAATATGTAATCCCAGACATGAAATATATTACATATCTTCTAAATGGCAGTGTATTCATAGCTTTCTACCATCGGAGCCATGCCAATTTACACTTGCAACAGGGGTACACAAAATATGTGACCTTGACCACCAGTTGTCAGACTTCCGTTCTTGTGGAAGCCACAGTGGCTAAGTAGGTTAGATTGCTGACTTGATGTGCTCTCGATTTGGTGCCATTTTTGAGATTGTGGATTTGAATCCAAGATGGGAATCAGCCTAAGAAAAAGTGCTAAAATTTGTACTTTGCTGAGAAATTGTAATCCCAAATATAACAAATGTTAAAATTGTTGAATTCAGTATTAATTTGTTTGTTTATTTGTTGTTTAACACCACACTGAGCAATATTCTAGCTATATGGCAGTGGTCTGCATATAATCAAGTCTGGACCAGACAATCCAGTGTTTGAACCTAAGATGTTCCACTCTATTGACTTGAGCAAACAGGAAAGTCAAGGAGACTGTATCATAGTATATGACAGATGAATCATTAGGACATGTACCATGATACAAGATGACTCGTGACCGTATCTTCCGTATCATTGCACCTTGTCTACGTACCAGTAGTGCTCCATGCACCTTGAAGGCATCAGCCCTGCTGATAGCGTTGCCCATAGACAGGTCCTCCATGGTGGCACACAACCTCGGCATGAAGGAAGACAAGTGAGGCAGGATTATCTCCTCTACTTGCTGTGAAAGACAGAGTGAGAAATTCAGGCTACAGCATTAATCTGTTGTTGAAGAAACAAATCAAACACAAAGTTATTTTACTGTAAAATACCTATATGTTACACTAAATATTTATTAGATTTGTATAAATATTTTCTTCACAAATAAGGTTGAGGACAGAAATTTATCTTCATGTTATATTTTTTGTGAACAGACTGTTCAAAGCACCAGGTTACCAAGACAGAACATGCAGAGGCCCAGATAAGCTGCGTATCCGGGTAAAATACGCATAGAAAATTTCCAAATACGCATTGAAAAATAATTGTTGCGTACCAATTACGCATTTAAACTGTTAGATACGCAAAGAGTTTAAAACAAATGCGTACGGAATATACTTATAAAAATCGCTTGCGTAATGAAAAAGACATCGATTGCTATCAATTTGTACTGTTAGTATAGGACAAGTGTTGTACTGTCAGTATAGGATGACTGATTTTTTATGAAATCATTTCCCTTATATTTAAGTTGGTTTTGAGTAGGTATCACATAAGGCAGAACATACATGCTTAGTCAACTTACTCAATGACACAATACTTAGGTGTGTAAAATGACTGAAATACGCACATATGTGAAAGCAGCGGGTAACGGAAAATGAAATACTCACTCAACATTCATAATACCCACTCCAAAAAAATACAGTGGGTACAGTACCCACATTAGCTAAATCTTATCTGGAGCTCTGACATGTATCAGAAAAGGTACCACTGTGAAAATCTGTGTTGATATATGGCATTAACAGATTCTAACAATGGTAGCATTATATTTCAAATTTAACATTTTCCCATGTTTTTGATTAAACAAGGTTAAACTGTAAATCAATTTGGATGGGAGGGTTTCTGAAATAATGGAATCTGAACCAACAAGGTTTCACCGTTACCAAAACCCCAACATGTTCTTGGAGTACATCCCCTAGCTTCAGTAAGGCAGGCCTGTCTGCTAGTCCAAGACCACTAATGTACAGACCACTAGTACAGTCTCCATTGAGGATTGACATTAGCGGGCTATAATTCTGAAACAGTTCTTGCATGCTTCAATTTGGCAATGAACCAGCTCTGAAAAAATCTGACAGAAAAAAACCACAACAAACATTTTTGTCTACTTCAAAGAGTACTAGTTGCAAACTCTGAAGACTAGGCTTGTTTCTGTACCAGGGTGTCCTCACCTTACAACCTAGAGACAACAGCCCCATGATAGCACCGTAATGTGAGCAGTGGGGCTTTGTCTGATCATGAATGGTCTCCTTTAGGTTCTTCTCTGTGTTGTAACGTAGATGGTTCAGGGGACTCGACCAGCGACTGAAAGTTGAATGGAGAAGGGTGAGCCAGAGAGAAACAAGGACACAAGACAGTTCCCCAATAACCTGTGAAAGTGTCCATATCAATGGAAGACGCTTTTTTCTAACCTCATATACATAACACTATTAGATATATTCATTGAGGACTTACTACTTTCTGAAACAGCTATGGAGTTCATTACTTGTAACAAGTACTAGCACAAGAAGATAGTGAAGCATCTGACAGTGTTTCATACATCTTAAATGTTTATACGCAGTAATTAATATAAGTAGTTCCAAATGATGAAATAGCATATTTCATTCCTAAACATGCACACAAATTTTTTGCATCCGGTGGACACTGACAGACAAGGAAGCTTTTATTTATAATGAATGTGGATTGTTGGGTACAGCTAAGGGAGGCAACTCTTCACAGCAAATTGCAATGATATATCAAAATGAGTACATTTAAACCATCATCCAGTATCCTAGAAACCCATTCAAACTTCTGTAGTCTCTCAGTCATTCTTTGGGCACATTTTTTAATGAATTTAATCACACGTTCAACTGATAGTGAGATACAAGTTGGTCACGGGTGATGTAAACAGAAAAGACTCTTTTTGTAATTATGTATCATTAACTGCTATGTTTCCATGAGCATTAACATTATATGCTAATGTTCCTGAAAGTGACCACCGATCTATAAGCCAACATGTTTATTCTAGTGGTACATATAATACATGGTGTACACTGTATGTTCAAAGCTATCCTGTGTGTCTATTCCAGGATGAGAGAGTAAGTGAAAAATGGGCAACTCACGTCACAATCTGAGCCAACAGCCTGGCAGCGTAGTCTCTGAGTAGCCAGTGGTCATTGCGAGGGTAGATGGATACAGCCAGGGGCTCTAGGACACAATACAGCACAGCCTGCACCAGTAGATTCAGCTGAAACACAAGGCTCATTGATCCACTCTCTTGAAAAGTGCCTAGACCCCCTAATATTTCAACAATTACACATCAGACCATGGGGAAACAAAACACCTCTGGTGATAATCTTGAATTTCTCCTAAAGACAAATGTCTCAGAACTCAGTAACTCTCACCACTATTCTCTCCTCAGCAAGGTGGAGCACAGTTTTCCACAACAAAGGGATGAAAAGTGCCACTAAGACGTTGCACAGATTAACTTATTCCACTTACTTTAACACATTCCTGGGATTTATACAGATTCCAAACTTAGTGCCCTTAGCAGGAAAGCTTTAAAAAAAATATTTTTCTGATAATAGGTCACATTTCGCAAGTTCAAGTATGATTCACTTAATGCAACAACATAAACTAATCATAAAAGAACTGGTCAACTCTACAGACAACTAACATTAGTAATAACATATTATTTGGTAAATTCTTATCTGATTTTCAGACATTTCCTGCAGAATTTGTGCCAAACATCAGCCTATGAACAAGTCTGGTATATCCATAGATTTAATTAACAGACATTACGTTATTGGTTATATATTTTCCAGTTCAATAAAGGCTCAAGTAAATGGTCATTCATTTTCATGATACACAAGTAACTATGCCATATCCACATGTTAGCTTGACTCCTATAACAAGCATGGGGTACTGGGTACCTGGTCCTGTCCCATAATTCCATGCATGAAAATGAATAGATTGTTTCAAATGACAAGTGTCGTAAGTCAACAATTATTCACATTCTTTTTAAAAAAGTGCATGTAATGAAAAGCACAAATACAAGGTATAACAATAATGAACAGCTTGTTAGTTACACCCTTGAAACTTGTTGCCTTGAAAATGCAATAAAAATATTCCACATCACAAATGTCACAAGTTCAATCCATGTCTGGAAAACAGTTTAAAAAACAAAGAAATGTTTTTTATTAATTATGCTCCCGAAAAGGGCCCCACATCTTGAAATCCAAATCATTGCCTTAGGAATGCAAAAGGAGTACACATTTCCAAATTCACCTGTTCATTGCAGGTTTGATGAATAAATGATGTACAAAAAGTCTCATTAAGGAACATTTGACGGTTTCTGAGTTGTAAATGGAAGAAACAAAATGTAGGGCCGGAACCTGTTTCTAGGTGCATACTTACATATGGCTGTGGTTCCAGGTAGACGTTGGGGTTGTGAACAAGTGCCTTCACGGTATGCAGCAACTTGGTCAGCTGACACAAGTCATGGCTCACAGTCTTCACCTGCAGTCAAAGTATACTGAATGAACACTGATGTATGACCAACTCAGCAATATTCCAGCTGTACTACAGATACAAAAGGGTTGATATTATGAGCAGCATCCAATGCTTCTGACTAAAATGGCAACAAGTGTTTGCCACTAATATGGCAATGTCCCCCGCCGCTAAAGAAGAATGAATATTTATAACATATTTACTACTATATATTTTTGGGTCACATACAAGAAATGACTGGTGTCTGCATAATCACCCAATGTAGGCTGTCAACATAATTGGAGACATTGGGTACACAGTTTTAGTAGATATCGCCCTTACATAAGTTTAAAAAGTGGTCACATTGTCGTGGTGACCTTGAAGATAAGGTCAAGGTCACCCAAATCAAATGTTGTATGCGTAATCCCCATTGTAGGCTGTTATTAAATTTGAAGACATTGGGTACGACAGTTAATGAGTAATCGCGTTAATAAGAGTTTGATAAGTGGTCGAAGTATTGTGGTGACCTTGAAATTAAGGTCAAGGTCACCAAAATCAACTGGTGTCTACGTAATCCCCCAATGTAGACTGTCACCAAATTTGAAGACATTGGGTACAACAGTACGTACATCCCGATTCTTGTTAACAACAAGAATTGGGATGTACGTACGGACGCCACTGAATACATAGTCCCCCGTTGCGGCGGGGTAGAACAAACAACCAAGACACACCACTTGATTCATGTTTTCACCTTTTATGACAAGTGAGTCAGTTCGCTTTTTATGCCACTTTTAGCAATATTTCAGCAATATCACGACAGGGGACAACAGAAATGGGCTTCACACACTGTACCCATGTGGGAGTGAGTGTACTAGAAGAAGTGAATGACTAAAGGAACCCAGAACCCCACCTTTATTTCAAACACTGCTAACGTTTATCGTTGCAATTAAAACTGTTTCACTCCGCACGTAAAAATATGTCAACAAGCAGCAAGAAAGAAAGAAAAGCCCAAACATCCATGTAGGAGGTGATGTAGAAAAAGGCACAGTTTACTTACCCCATTGGATACAAAGTTGACAAAGTACGGCAATAAAGGCACTATGTTGGGATTTGACTGAAGATCGTTGAGTGCAGTCTGCAAGAGAAACAGAAATTGAAACAAGCAGAAAATTACTGACAAACATAATTCTTCAGCAAACCTGATCTACTGCAGCATACAAACAACATACTGGCTATGTGTTGAAAGTACAGTCCATAACAAACGTGGTCAAGATCCCATAATACTTATACCCCTTCTACCTTCATTGTGTCGACATCACAACCAAGATAGAATTGGTTTTAGCTTACCTCACACATAAATGTCGCTTTCAGATTGGCTACCCTGCTGTCAATGGCAACTCATTCATTACTCTGTGGTAGTAATTCTTTATTTCGAATAACATTGAATCACGTATGATGTACGGAAATTACCGATGTTTTGCGAATGCAAATCGATGGAAGGGAGATAACTCTAAATCTGTTTTTCTTGTCAGCAAAATCTAGCGATGGCTACAAAAAGATTTGTACCCGTGCTTCAAACAATACAAAATTAACATTACGGTGTTCGGTAAGATAAATACGTTGTTCACTGGTCCCTCGGGGCGCATGGGTTGATGTACCCTCGATGTTAGTTTATGTTCCCCTCGGCCTTCGGGCTCAGGGAACATAAACAAACAGCAAGGGTACATCAACCCATGACCCCCTCTTGACCAGTGAACAACTTATAATGTTCCCATAGTACATACACACCTCCTATAGTCATTGTTTCAACATCCTAGACAAAGACAAAGTATTTATACAACCTCCTACCTTCATTGTGTCGACATCACAGCCTAAGATAGCCTTGGTCATGTTCTCATAGTACTTCAACAAATCATCTGAGAGCTCCTTCTTTACATTCAGCTTTCCTACAATATAAAAGTAAAAACATCCACATGCATTGACCATCCCGTTTATAACAAGCAGCAAGTATAGAACATGTCAGACAACATAATATTTATAATGTTTAACCATTCTGAACAAAGCTAGAAACATCTACTTAAGACTACTGGTATGTGTATTATGCTCAGCTGTTCAATCCTTTTTTCATATTTCTAAACAAATGAGCATTAAGACACTCATAAAATAAAATGAGGGACAAAATAAAAAACTTGAAGAAATGAGAGGGAATATGAAAATGAGGAAATGACTGATTGCATTAACATTAACAGACTTCTTACCTGCAGCAGGCTGACTTGAAGAGACGGTTTTCTGGACTCCCTCCACGACAAGCCAGTGAGCTGAACAGACAAATGTGTGTTTTTTGTAACAAACTTATACCATGTTTCATATTAAAAACTCACATTACCATCGCCACATCTCTGATAGTTATCCATTTACTGCTGGCTGGACATGGTCAACAGAGGCTGATTATGAACACATGCATTTGTATCAGGCTACAGATGTGCAACATGTGCTCAAGTGTCCAACACTCTCACCCTTCAACTCTCAAGACCAATGTTGCCTAACTTCACTAGATTGATGATGTGTGTGCTGTATACAAGACTATGTACCATCTCACTATAGATACTATACCAACATTACAATGGTATTGAGCTAGTTTGTCAAGTGTCAGTTAAAGCAGGGTGTATTCTAGATGATTTGGAATGGAGAGAAAACGACATCACTTTTCTTATTTTGTTTGGTCCATCAATATTGTCAACAGATTAATAATTATGATGAATTTATAGTTGGACCCTATGGGTTAGGGGCATAAAGATTGCTAAGAGAGTTGTTTACTGGACACAGAATCCTGAATCCATAACACATTATAAAAAATGAATGCACAAAGAATATAGACTACATCCAATAAGGAATGTCAGGGTTTTGTACCAACTGAAAATAATTTCCATACAGTGTCATTTCAAAATTACCAGAAACAGGATTCACAATCTTTTTGTCCAAAACCTTTAAAGACTCATTTCAGTTGGGCAACTATATCTCTTATTCACTAACAGCTACTGATCACGAACAGACTTCACTGCTTGTGGTAGAGTACTGTATTCTGGACCGTATTTCAGACATTTCCCTGACAGGCCCATTTCTTAACCTTGGTCTCCTTCAATTAAAAGCTTTCAATCCCCTGAGGTTTTTTAAAATAAATAACTCGGGTAAATTCATGCTGTTAATAATTTTGATTTTGTTCATTTTAATTTTTTTCCTTTATGCAACTTGTTTGAAAACATGTGGGTATTCATTTAGAATACTTTTTAGAATGTTCAGTATGAGTATTACATCTGATATTTGTCTCAGCATACTTCTAAGAGACATTTAGGACATGGGATATTCAAATACTGTGTTCATAATTCATTTCCAGGACCACTGTGATACCTTACCATCTTTCTCGCATCTTATCTTTAATTTCACAATTTTGGAAACATTTTATCAAGATTATACACCCTCAAGTAGATGAATCCAAATTTGCTTCTAATCTTCATTCAGATTATTATTACTGTCATTCTCACATACCTTTAATGGTTGTTTCTCCTATATGTTTTGGAATGTGAGTGTTAAAGGCAATATTGGCCAAATTGACATCCATGTCTTCTACAAAATGAAGGTCACCATCTCTGGTTTGGCGGAAATTGGCAGGTTCCATTGATCCATGACCACATAGAGGCTGAAAACAATTTGTAGTATATCATTCAAATACTCAATAACATCTGTCACACAGGTGAACAGATGGTCACACTTGATCTCAAAGATATGTCCATCATATGCACAGACCGAATGGTGAGTGAGTTGGGTTTATCACCAGTGTAGGACAGTGAGTGAGTGAGTTTAGTTTTACGCAGCACTCAGCAATGTTCCAACTATATGGCGGCAATGTAGGACATAGTTATACATTGGGGTGGAATGCCTGCACTGATGTGAGTCTTAGCTGTTTAACGCTTTAGCGAAATACCACAAGTGTCTTTTTCACTTTTAACCATGGGAGCGGCTGAAAACAATGGAGTCTGGACCAGACAATCCAGTGATCAACATCATGAGCATCTATCTATGAAATTGGGATGCAATGACATGTGTCAACAAAGTCACTAAACGCCCAATACCGTTAGTCGCTACTTATAACAAGCATGGGTTGTTGAAGACTAATTGCTAACCCAGATCTTCATCTGTCTACATCTTGCTGAAACCCATGAGCATGCATATGGTGTAAAAAATGGTGATCCTACACAATGAATGACCAAATGATCAAAACAACAGACCAACAAGAAAAATCTTTCGATTTTTTAAAAGCATTACAACATGAATATTTTCACTTCTGAACCAAACAGTTAGTGCGCATGGTGAGAGAAGTATTTTCTCTACATACTTGTACATCACTTTGCCGTAGAGCTTTGTTGAAGTCTTCAGTTGTCATTCGTTTCCTCTTCGCATGCCGCATAAACTGGGTACAATTCTGCAACACAATCAATGACTGTAATCAATACACTGATGAATTTTTGGAATTCTATTTTCTGCATTATTTTACATGAATGGTCATGAAATTATTCTGTAAATTTGCACATGCATTGATGCATATACCGTTGAAACTTAGACCGCACTTTTACAATGAGTGGGTGAGATTAGTTCTATGCCTCTTTTAGCAATATTCCAGCAATATTCCCCAATGTTGGTTGGGGGACACCAGAAATGGGCTTCACACATTGTACCCATGTGGGGAATCGAACCCGTGTCTTCAGCATGACGAGCGAACGCTTTAATCACTAGGCTACCCCACTGTCCCATTTACAATAATGAGATTACAAGGACAATGATAAGGCTTATTTGACAAGATAACATGAAGGGAAGATTAATGAGTGGCTACCATGGTAACTTCTCTCAGTCTGTAACTGAGATCCTCGCCAAGCAGCGCCGCAGCAGCATCAGGGAGGTCAGCATGACCTGCGGCTTCTGCCATCATCTTCACTGTTTCCTTCGTGATGATGGCATACTTCTTTTCATCAAATGGCTTCTTCTCCTCAGAGGGAGAAGTCACCATGGACTCTGCATTCATGGTATAGATTGAGGTTGGCTTCTGAAAATTACATGATTTATATATCATGATGTGTTTTCATGGAAATACTTAATTAGACTTCAGTCAAGTTCCCAACCAGTCATTTACACAGATAAATCACCATAGTGACTAAATGTTAATTTTTGATAGGTAGAGACTACTAGAGTTGAATGTTTTGAGTATATGTGAACTTATAAGAGAAACATTGGTGATAGTTGTGGCAATGTATATACTAAGGGTTGTCAATATAGCTAAATTGAGAGACGCTGCAGTTTTACTGATACTTGAGATTGCACATGAATAGATGCTTGCCTTTCCAAATGATCCAACTCCATATGATCTGCGGTCGGCTAAATGCACTTTGATAATGGACTAAAATACACGACGAGGTGCTTGAAAGAACAAATCCTCTACAGTTGGCATAAATACTGAAATTAAACACCTACGTTCTCAGAAGGCGTTCATTCAAAGACGGACGCTACTGGTGGCTAGTGTTGAAAAGCCACGAAGTTCAACTATCGTATCAGTGTTAGTTGGAAGATTACGAGGTGGAAGGATGGTACTTTACCTTCCTATATTTCCTCGGAATATTCTACATCTTTCTGCAACCACATAATCCTATTTATCTCCTGGATATGAAATTAATCTTCAATTTTTAATTGACAGTTCCTGGGCACGCCAAACTGCCGCCATTGTTGCAAAGTGTCGACTTCCGGTTATGATAAAATCCGGACAAGCAAGGATGGGGAATTCTCTTAGGTTACTCAAGTAATATCTTCCCACGCAGATATGACTTGAGTAACCTCTGTGGGGAAGAGAATGGGATCGGGCGACTAAGCACGGTTTAACTTATGCGAAATCTCTCGAAATCATATCTAAACTTTTTCGATCAAATAGATTCAAACATATTTTTCATCTGAAACGTTCAACACAGGTTAACCTGAAAGAACACACTGACACTAAAAGAACACAATTCCTAGCATACCAGTAGGGTACTAAGTGAAACTCTGCAGGCCGATGGTCATCTCTGTATTTGTAATACGTATATAAATCCACGAAAAGAGAAAAGAAACGATGCATTATAGTTTCTTGAAACAGAAGAATGTAACGTTATCTGCGTCTGCGGTCTAACATCGCTGCATGCACGCTGCATACATGCATACACAAATTTGCGGACAAATCAGACACCAAATGTCATGTCAACATATTGTGGCCTCAATGTGGCCACTGCATCAATGTACAAACTGGACACATTTAGTATGGAAGCGTATTTTTGGAATGGTGTCAGGGCCACAGTCTAAAGAAATATCATCTTATAGCTACTTACTGAGGTACTACCTGAACTTGACATTTATGAATATATTTAAAGAAATATAATAGGGGGAAGTTTCGTAATTTGTAATGATTTCAGTAAGGTGTAAAAGTACAAAAAAAAGGCCAAATGAAAAAAAATATAACATGCTGAAAACCATTTGTAAAAATGCATTTGAAACAGGAAGGAAGGAAATTCGGATACATACATAATTTGAGGATGTGATAAAAGTATCTGTATGCGTAGATTAGACTGTGGCACTACCGACCGTGTAAACAACACTTGCCGCTGAACTCCCTCGTGTGACCTGTTAAGATACATTGCATATATGACAGGAGCGTTTTTCATATGTGTTTTTGTTGCTCTTTATTTCTCAAACGATTTCACCCTTGGCAGTGATTGTCTTTATTTTTTTGTTGTCTTTTGGGGTTTTCCATTTCACAATAACTTTGGTCTTAAAGTACACTTTTCCCAAAAAGAAACGCATAAGCCATTGTTATAAGAATGTATTGCGTTAGTTATTTAAAGAATTTTATCTCATGTAATTTCAATGGTAAATAGGTGAATATTCACACGTCTATAGATCTAGACAAAGAGTTCACCAACACAACAGCAGTCATTACAGCAGTCCACAAGATGGCTTCAAAATCATTACATGTACTTTGTATGGCCACCATTCGCATCGATTACTGCTCGGTACCGTCTCGGCACAGACTGGATAAGTCGACGAAGTCGCTCTTGTGGAATTCTTCCCCACTCTTCCTGCAATGCGTTGGCCAGTTCTGGAAGAGGTTGAGGCGTGTTTTGACGTTGACGTACACGTCGATCGAGTCCATCCCATAGGTGTTCTATCGGGTTTAGATCTGGTGATCAGAAAGGCCATGGCAAGACACTGACGTTAGAATTGGCAAGGGTACAGATCGTGACGCATGCTGTATGTAAAGTAGCGTTGTCATGCTGGAACTAGGGCTTCCACGGGTACTCGAGGACGAGTCGGGTTTAGCTGGACTCGAGTCCATTTTCAAGGACTCGAGGACTCGAAAAGGGGAGATAACTCGAATTATTGACGTTGACGGACTGTCTGCCATGTGCTAAGCATGAACGGCCGTTAACGTCTAATATTAAGAAAAAGATATACTAGTAACTTTATTATCCCGGAGGAAATTCTCATACATCCAAACTGTCTCAAAATGAATATATACACAGTTCACAAAAATATGCACAATAATTACATGCTCAAAACGAATGCTATTTACAAATAAAACTGACATGATATAATTCAATTAACCACATAGGTAAAGAGGCTGAATAATTCTAGTTTTAATCACATGATGATGATTCAAAATATTTGTAGCATTCACGAATACTTGATGGTATGAAAGACTGTCGAGCTCTGTTTTGAGGGAAGGTAATCGAGAGCAGCGTCCAGAAGGAAGTAGTTCAAAATGGTGAGATCAAATATGTCAACTATCAAATCTAATTTTAGCTGCCTTTTTGACTATACTCGAAATACACTCCAGAAATTTTGAAAGCAGTATTAACAATTTTGAAAAGTCTGTTTTTGTTGCGATGAGACAGATCCCCATACCAACATAGAAAATTGTAGGTCAACACACTTTGAATAAAGGTTTGATAAAAAACTGTCATTACGGTTTTGTCAATGCCTTGATGATAATAAAGTTCAGAATCAGAAATTAGGCCAGTAACAGTGGCGTCATCTGCAAATTTCACAGTAAGCAAGTCATATATTGACAAGTAACAGTCATGATGATTGGTATACAAAACGAAGCGTACGAACGAAGGAACACAGCCATGTGGATCTCCAGCAGAGGTTGAGAGAAAAGAAGATTGATAGCCATTGACACTGACATACTGAGTTCTATGTACCCTGAATTCTTTTACCCATCTGATAATGTTTTCATTAACACCTAGATTAAATAGTTTACTCCTCACACGGTGTGGCTGTATGGTATTAGTTGTTACAAGTCTGCAGATGAGAGTAAATATTATACATCGATTGAGATTTCACTTCTGAAAATGATTAGGTAACTATCTTGACAATTGAACGTTTACTTGAAAGGTATGAATTTCGAGTACTCGGGTCCGAGTCGAGTCTCACCCCTCGAGTACTCGAGTCCAAAAAAATGGACTCGTTGAAGCCCTAGCTGGAACAGCTCCCTCTGTCGGTTCATAATGGGAAGCATGTTATGTGCAAGGACTTCGTTGACATACCGATTTGCTGTCAAATTACACTGAACCACCACTAGATCAGATCTTTGTGCGCTGAATATAGTACCCCACACCATGACATTGCCTCCACCGAATCTTTCGACCTGTCGAATGCATTTAGGGGCAAAACGGTCATTTCTCCGAACGCTTCACACGTTGTCTTCCATCTCGCCGGGGAAGAGGAATTCGTGATTCATCACTGAACCAGACTCGCCTCCAGTTTCTAAGGTTCCGAACTCTACGACACCACCGCAAGCGATTGCACCAATGGAAGTCTCCCAAAACAACTGGCCTTCTTGGTCGAATCCCCACTTCACGCAATCGATTACTGACAGTTTGGTCGGAAGTTCTTCTCAAACCAGGAATGCGTTGTGCAGTCTCCACGGCTGTGGCAAGACGATGACGCAAGTGAGCAACCCGGATGTAGCAGTCCTCGGCTTGGTTGATAACTCTTGCACAGCCGCCTCTCGGGCGATCTTGGGCGGAATTGGTCTGCAGAAAACGATCCAGAATGCAAGATCAGATGAACTTCGAAATGTAGGGCAACTGCAGACTGCGACTCCCCAGCTTCAAGGCGGCCTATGGCGATGTTTCGATTGGCGGCACTCAGTCGTGGCATGATGATTTCCTCTTTTCCAGGCAAAAACGAATGACAAAATTAACACAACGTTTGTCTTTTATAGTGATCGATAACGCATGCTTTTCCGCTTACTTGCACGTGCATCATTTTGCTTTGCATGTTCTCGTGGTAACGTTTTGGCGAATATTTCTTCAAACGCTTCTCAAACAAGGGAAAAAGCTGTTTACAATCACACAGTGATGACGTGTTGGAAAGAAATAGTATATTTGTATTGCTTTTGCCGCAGCTACATGAGTCCAATGTTATCAAAATCACCTGTGCGTATCTTTGAAGAGTGTATATGTATTGAACAGTTGAAAGAAAGACAATTATTCAAAATATTTTCCGTTTTTGTGGTTTGGTCCGTTTCGTCATCAAAGCCGCACCAGGAAAGATTACTTGGAATATGTGGATGGAGGAAAACATTTTACGCGCGCCGCTGATGAATCGACCGGGTACGGTATGACATGTATCAACACTGTGATCTTTTGCACTGATACGATGCTTAAAAGTTAATTGACATTTGCAAATTAACCATACAGAACAATGTATTTATTCATGTACATTACACAGACATTTGTTTCAAAGTGTACTGTGTTTTCCTATGTCTGTCCATAGTACAGCGATTAGCTTTTCACGATGCAGTTTGAGCTTGTGTTAAAATTCAGAAAATGCATTTCTTCACGTTGTACAGATCCTCTCTTCAGGACTGACTAGATAAAGGAAGTTGATACTTCACGAACTTAAAAACAAACAAAAACAAATTTCTTAGAATTATTCCGTCTTTTAAAGTGGGAATCAGTTTATTTATTTATACTTTTGATATTTGCAATAATTTTGAACATGATTATACCTCCGCTTCAGTATAAGCTGGAACCCCTGAGATTCGTTAGAGTATATATAATAAACAAATTGTATTTATGTGGGACTCAACATTGCAAAATGTCTCAAAACGATCATGCATTTCTCTCAAACTGCACTTGGGGCGGTGGGGTAGCCTAGTGGGTAAAGCGTTCGCTTGTCACGCCGAAGGCCCGGGTTTGATTCCCCACATGGGTAAAATGTGTGAAGCCCATTTCTGGTGTCCCCCGCCGTGATGTTGCTGGATTATTGCTTAAAGCGGCGTTACACTTCTCATTTCGCGTGACTGACGAAGAGAGCTGAACTGTAAGATGTATGTTATAGAATGGTTTAACAATTCATATTCCTCAGTATATATGAAGACAGTATTAAAAGAGCACATCCAGGTGAGCTACAGTGACGCAGTGACGCGGCAGTATACAGTACAACCAGAAATTATTGAGAATTTAAGATTGTAATTTGTTTTTGTTTTTTTCACTCATTACTCACGTATTAAATGTGAATATTAGCAGAACTTAACTCCAGATTCAAAGACAGGTGAACAGTTAGTATTTTGTCAAGTCACCATGGGCAGCAATGCAGGCTTCAATGCGGCGGGGCATCCTACTGATCAAAGAAGTTAGAAAGTCGTGGTCCATGCTGTCCCAATATCGGACCACCTCTTCTTTCATTTCAGCAATATTTGTCAGATTTTTCATATTGACACTTTCCTTCATAAGTCCCCAAACATTTTCTTTTGGATTTAGGTCAGGGCTATAGCTTAGCCAATCTAATAATGTCATATTTTGGGTCCGAAACCAGGCCTGTGAATGCTTTGAACGATGTTTTGGGTCGTTGTCCTGCTGGAAAATCCAAACATTTCCATAGAACACGTGAGCAGATGAAAGTAAATGTCCTTTGAAAATATCTGTGTACCGCTCACTGTTCATATTCCCTTCAAATACACAGAGTGGCGTTGCCCCTAACACAGATATGCCACCCCACACGTTAAATTTCGGACTGTACTTTGGGCGCTGATACAAAGGTTTTTCAGTTTGTTTGGTCCAGAATTTCCATGTATTAGGAAACAGCCACACAGAACTTTCATCTGAGAAAATCACATTGTCCCAGTTAAAATTTCTATGCTGTAAGCACCAGTTCAACCTTCGCTCCTTTTGTTCAGGTTTCATGATCGGTGATGGAATTCCTCGACTTTTCTGCCAACCCATTGCAGGCAGCTCAGTTCTTATTGTCTCCTTACAGACAACCACAGTTCCTCTATCAATCATATCCAGCCTTAAGTTTTCTAAACTCCTTCGTTTGTTTTTAGAAACAAGAATACCAAGTCGCCTCCTGTCACCGACAGTCAATTTTCCGGGCCTACCTGCGCCTCCCTGGGGCTCAATGCCATATCCATTTGCAATATTTTTCAAAACACGATAAACAGTGGACAAAGGGATGCCTGTTCTACTTGAAATCACTTAAGCTGATCTGATGTCCCTGTTATAATACTCTTAAATCAACTCCTCTTCTCTAAATCATCCATACTGATGATCACTGAAAATGTCGTCTGCTAGCAAGTAAACAAAGGGGGGATAACTCTTCACAAACTAATGAAAAATGATTAACGGAGTTGTCTCTCTTGAATGAAACCAAGCACTTGATAGCTGGTCAAGGTTGTTTATACTAGAAATCCAATTAAACATATTCCTAAAATTCTCAATAATTTCTGGTCATACTATATTTGCGATATATATTTATATATATTTTTGGTTTAATCGCTTATGAAAAATGCCAGTGTATGTTCTCACAGTAAAATAACATTTCCTTTTGTAAAAATGAGTGAACGGCCACTGGTGCAGTTTTTTCCTATCTCACGTCTAGTTAGCCCAGTACTATACAAGGGCATACTCCTGGGAAAGTCACGTAATATGATACCCCGGCCCTACATATCAACCACACAACATAGCGAGGACTATAAGGAGCTTTAAGTGCCTCTGTCCCACTACAACCTGGGCGGGCTAAAGAGATCGATAATGGGAACAATTATTAATGATTATCGATATGAAAAAAAGTTTAAATTTAGTCACACAATACCCAGAGTAAGGTCTTCATTCATGGGCTACTTCCAATTGACGTTCAGGGCGGTGTTTTGTTACCATTCTGTACATCACCGCTCACCAGTGATGTGAAACACGCATGATTTCATTCAGACGTTTATGATATTTGTTCTCAAAGGAAGTTTTCCAATATTCATCGAACACCAATCGATATTTGCTTAACGATTATCGATCTCTATGATTTGATATCGATAGCCAGCTCTACCTATAACCGGGTAAAAGTAAGTTCCTATGCTGGCAAAAAAGAAGCGAAATGGATCGGGTAGTGTGACCACCATGAATTAACAGAAAGGTAACCGACGTCGCTATGTGTAGGATTAGAGTGAGTGAGTTGAGTTTTACGCCGCACTCAGCCATATGTAGGATTAGAAGAGGCAATACCAGTGCGTAACTGCCGAAATGAATGGAAAGGAAAATGTTTAAAAGTTTAGTTCCAAGGCAAATCGTTAAATGACGTCTTTGGATACTGACGCAATAATAGGACGTCACATTTCCCAGATGCGTAACGGTTCAAACACTCTTTAAATCGAATTATATTGTGTTTTATGTATAAAATAGCAGGTAAACTTTGGTTCAATTTACAAGTTTGCAGCATTTTCATATATGGTGTCAGCGACCAACATTTCATATTCAAAGCAGTGGCTGAAAACCTTCTTTGGTTATTGCAGAATGACGAGATGCATTGTGTGGGTGGTTCCAGGTCGGAGGGGTATTTCCAGAGGGAGGAGAAATGTCCTATCAATTACCCAACGACACCTCAAATGTTTCTGTGAGATTCTAGGGTAATGCTTATTTCTTGCAGTTTGCCTAGCTGGGCTGTCAAGCTGGGCACGGAGATCCAGGTAGAGGTCAAAGTCCGGTTAAGTTAGACCTCTGACTGACCATTGTCATGGGATGTCATGAATAGGGCCTACTGTAATTAACGCCCTTACCCAGAGGCGTAGCCAGGATTTTGAAAAGGGGTACATATCTAAAGGCACTTAAACTACCGATTATAGAAACAAAAAAACAAGCCCCAGTGAGGTGACTGAAGACTGTCTCAACTTGCTTCCTCTGTAGATTTTGCATTACAGAAAGGGCTGGGTGGAAGGTAAGATAATATGGTTCATGGACTGAGCCAGACTAATTCAAGTTGTACCACACCCTCTCTATCTCCAGGCTTCGCAAACCTACAGTGTAGGTTTAACAGAATACTAGCCCTGAAGACATAGGGTTGATGTACTGTATGTAAGTCGATAGGAGCTGACACAAGGTGTCTCGGGAGGCTAGGGTCGGTTGGGACCAGTGCGCGGCCTCGCCCAGTCGATGGATATCGTTAAATGCTTTTCAAATCAACGTCAATTCTTCACGACGTGTGAAGGAACATGTGGAGTATGTGATATGTCAAAATGTAGTTGTAATAAAAAAGACTCCGTCAAACGAGTCTCATATACGACTTCATTGTCACATATGTGGCCTTACAAAGACATACCTATAGTCTGTCATACAGACCCTGAAGTAAATATATCCAAGAAATCCCACGCAAGTCTAGAAAATGTGGCAAGTCTAGATTTCCACAGCTTCTGAAAATGAAGAAAGTCTCAGGGCTCCTTTTCATTATATTCTATTTTTTTCACTTTGATTTTTTTTCTCTGTAAAATACACGTATGTTCATTTCAGAGACTAGTTGTTAGTATAAGACATACCTTATATACCTATACCTATAACAAACATTCAATTCCAGAATTGTCGTACAATATAGTTGTATTTCCACATTAACTGAATTGAGTAAACAGATGCAGTTATTAATGACAAGTGACAAGCACTAAGATGTGCATTAAACCCATGAGCGCTTGCAGCTGGAGTAGATTAAGGGGGTGTCACCTCGGTAATTGTACCCCAGTCACAAGCAATCAAGCATGCAGATATATATATGCATTGGCGAATAGCCATGTTTACTTACTTCTTACTTATGAATGGACTGAAACGCCTTGGATGGGACATTAATTGTAGTTTAGTCACGAAGTATATGTATATTGTGCGGACTCGGTCCCTGGTTGAGTGAGAGAGTGTGTGTGTGCGCGCGTGCATGTGCGTATGTGTGCGGAGAGGTGGTTAATGCAGGCTCTTTAGGTTAATGCAGTCACTAAGATTCACTCTATATCTCTCTGTGCATGCATATCCATTTATATTTCTAGCTATTTATACGTATTTTGTATTTTAAAAATATAAATAAAAGAACATTTTACATCAACCCGCCCCACCCAACCCCCACCCCCTACACACAATAGCACCCTTATTGTATATGTAACATATGTGCTCTTGATTGGGCAAGGACGTGGGCACTCTACCATGAACGCCATCTCATCTTGAAGGTCAAGGTCGGAGGAGGCACGTGATAGACAGTCTATTTACAACCGGGACTGTCACTGATGCATTCGAGCCGGTCGACTGGGGAGGCGTGAGGAGATTGCGGGTACATATCTCATCTGGACAAAGGCAAGTGTATCTGCGTCAACATTATTAGATTAATCTCTCTAAATATATCATATCTTGATATAACACTCAGTACGTGTTGATGCATTTCGTACACGCATGTTGCCGCGTGCAAGATCAAGATTTATCACCGAGTCACGCATGAGAGCCACCAGATCGTTCATCCTGGTAAATAGATTCGCAGTTATGAAACATGCTTGTAATTCGACTGTGCAACGGTTTTTGTGTAAAGCGACCATTGAACACATTATCATATTGTGCCCACAGAAATGCCATCTTAACAGTAAATGTATTATTCTTGCATTTCGGATTTACCTGGTGAGAGTTACCTCCCTTATTGTGCACTGGTTTCAGCTGTTCAAAACCGTAAGAATCCACTTGTATTTTTTTCCATTGAAATGGTTTCTGTCATGTTTTTATTTTTAAGTTTAAGTTGTTTACAACATTCTGTTGCTATAAAAGATGTATTCTACTGTACAAAGCTAAATTTAATTTAATTAATTTAATTTACTTCTGTATTAGCAAAATCTGTATTTAAAAAAATGGCGAAAATAAACACACTCTAAAAAAATCACAATAAATAACATTTGAGGTTTTGCACTGAAAACTCATAGCTGTTTGTATTAGAAAAGAGCGCTAAGTATTTTTCTTAAAATATACGGGTGGTAGGGTAGCCTAGTGGTTAAAGCGTTCGAGCTTGTTACGCCAAAGACCTGGGTTCGATTCCCCACTTGGGTACAATGTGTAAAGCCTATTTCTGGTGTCCCTCGCAATGATATTGCTGGAATATTGCTGAAAGCGACGTAAAACTCACTCACTCATGAAATGCAAGAACTTATAATAGCTTTCCCCGACAAATTAGTTGACACTTTTGAATGACCTGTTAAAAGCACATAATTACAAATGCTTCATTTATTTTCTAACTCATGCACAAACACAAGGGGATTTGCTATGGAAACAACTTGCAATTGCTCACTTGAATACAGACATTTCTGAAAACATTTAAAGTTTACTTTTCATCAAGCCCAATTGTTGCCAGCTGTTCACACTATGTAACTGACAAACACTAGAACTGTAATTGTTCTACAACTTGTTCTATGGAAGTAGAAATATGAATTATTTCTACCTAACTTTTCTTCATAATTACAATCTCAATATAATGATTACTCTGTTGGCATGGTTAGTTGTATGAATATTCATGATTATGGTAAGTTGTTTCAGTTTGACTTTGTTCAACATGTGTTCAGCAGATTGTGTAGAAATTTCTAAAAATCTGTGTTAGGATTATGCCAGTTGATAATGTTATTTAATGTATACCAGGTAATGCAGGCATACTTGATTGTCCTTGTGTTGGGTCAGCTAAGATTTGTGTTAAAGGGTCTTCAAGTTTGTGAACTCATCAGCCAACATGGACTCAGGAAAATCATTTTGCGACAGCAACTCTGTGTGAACAAGATGACTTATTCCGATACAGGTCTACATTGGTTACCTGAAGGTTATATAGAATCAGATACACCTGTCACACTCGGCATCTGCTGACTTCATGTCAGTGCAGTCTGTCAGTCAGTATTGAATTACAGGAATAAACAGATCCTCTGCCATGCCTGCATGTATTTGGTTCAGTTCTAGATAGGGGGTGGTGGGGGTATTCTAGTGGTTAAAGGATGGAAACCTATTGTTGATGATCTGTGTACACTATTGTTGATGATCTTGTGTACAGTGTTGTTGATGATCTTCAGTGTACAGTGTTGTTGATGATCTTCAGTGTACAGTGTTGTTGATGATCTTCTATGTACAGTGTTGATGATCTTCAGTGTACAGTGTTGTTGATGATCTTCAGTGTACAGTGTTGATGATCTTCAGTGTACAGTGTTGTTGATGATCTTCAGTGTACAGTGTTGTTGATGTTCAGTGTACAGTGTTGTTGATGATGTTCAGTGTACAGTGTTGTTGATGTGTACAGTGTTGATGATCTTCAGTGTACAGTGTAGATGATCTTCAGTGTACAGTGTTGTTGATGATCTTCAGTGTACAGTGCTGTTGATGATCTTCAGTGTACAGTGTTGTTGATGATCTTCTATGTACAGTGTTGATGATCTTCAGTGTACAGTGTTGTTGATGATCTTCAGTGTACAGTGTTGATGATCTTCAGTGAACAGTGTTGTTGATGATTTTCAGTGTACAGTGTTGTTGATGATCTTCAGTGTACAGTGTTGTTGATGATCTTCAGTGTACAGTGTTGTTGATGATCTTCAGTGTACAGTGTTGATGATCTTCAGTGTACAGTGTTGATGATCTTCAGTGTACAGTGATGATCTTCAGTGTACAGTGTTGTTGATGATCTTCAGTGTACAGTGTTGATGATCTTCAGTGTACAGTGTAGATGATCTTCAGTGTACAGTGTTGATGATCTTCAGTGTTGTTGATGATCTTCAGTGTACAGTGTTGTTGATGATCTTCAGTGTACAGTGTTGTTGATGATCTTCAGTGTACAGTGTTGTTGATGATCTTCAGTGTTCAGTGCTGTTGATGATCTTCAGAGTACAGTGATGTTGATGTTCAGTGTAGTGTTGTTGATGTTCAGTGTACAGTGTTGTTGATGATCTTCTATGTAGTATTGTTGATGATCTTCTATGTACAGTATTGTTGATGATCGTCTGTGTACAGTGTTGTTGATGATCTTCAGTGTACAGTGTTGTTGATGATGTTCAGTGTACAGTGTTGTTGATGTTCAGTGTACAGTGTTGATTGATGTTCAGTGTACAGTGTTGTTGATGATCTTCAGTGTACAGTGTTGTTGATGATCTTCAGTGTACAGTGTTGTTGATGATCTTCAGTGTACAGTGTTGTTGATGATCTTCAGTGTACAGTGTTGATGATCTTCAGTGTACAGTGTTGATGATCTTCAGTGTACAGTGTTGTTGATGATAATGTACAGTGTTGTTGATCTTCAGTGTACAGTGTTGTTGATGATCTTCAGTGTACAGTGTTGATGATCTTCATGTGTACAGTGTTGTTGATGGTCTTTAGTGTACAGTGTTGTTGATGATCTTCAGTGTACAGTGTTGTTGATGATCTTCAGTGTACAGTGTTGTTGATGATCTTCAGTGTACAGTGTTGGTGATCTTCTATGTACAGTGTTGTTGATGGTCTTTAGTGTACAGTGTAGATGACCTTCAGTGTACAGTGTTGTTGATGATCTTCAGTGTACAGTGTTGTTGATGATCTTCAGTGTACAGTGCTGTTGATGATCTTCAGAGTACAGTGATGTTGATGATGTTCAGTGTAGTGTTGTTGATGATGTTCAGTGAACAGTGTTGTTGATGATCTTCTATGTAGTGTTGTTGATGATCTTCTATGTAGTATTGTTGATGATCTTCTATATACAGTGTTGTTGATGATCTGCAGTGTACCGTGTTGTTGATGATCGTATGTGTACAGTGTTGTTTTATGATCTTCAGTGTAAAGTGTTGTTGATCTTCAGTGTACATTGTTGTTGATGATCTTCAGTGTACAGTGTTGATGATCTTCAGTGTACAGTGTTGTTGATGATCTTCAGTGTACAGTGTTGTTGATCTTCAGTGTACATTGTTGTTGATGATGTTCAGTGTACAGTGTTGATGATCTTCAGTGTACAGTGCTGTTGATGATCTTCAGAGTATAGTGATGTTGATGATGTTCAGTGTAGTGTTGTTGATGATCTTCTGTGTACAGTGTTGATGATCTTCAGTGTACAGTGTTGATGATCTTCAGTGTACAGTGTTGTTGATGATCTTCAGTGTACAGTGTTGTTGATGATCTATGTACAGTGTTGATGATCTTCAGTGTACAGTGTTGATGATCTTCAGTGTACAGTGTTGATGATCTTCAGAGTACAGTGCTATTGATGATCTTTGTACTGTGTTTATGATCTTCAGTGTACAGTGATGTTGATCTTCAGTATGCAGTGTTGTTGATGATCTTCTATATACAGTGTTGATCTGCAGTGTACAGTGTTGTTGATCTTCAGTGTACAGTGTTGTTGATCTTCAGTGTACAGTATTGTTGATGGTCTTTATTGTACAGTATTGTTGTTGATCTTATATGTACAGTATTGTTGATGATCTTCAGTGTACTTGACTACTGTTTATGACAGAACAGCCTCACTGTGTCACAAAACTGCACAAGTGATGTCCCCAGATAATTAATGTTGATCCCATTACAAAATGGATTACATTATCACATATCAGCAGTGAAATGTTGACAGTGTTACACTGACAAATATGATAGCGGAATTTGTTTACTATCTTCTTTACAGTACTCAACCATAACCATGTTTTAGTTTTCATTGTTGAAATACATATTCAACAGGTTTCCCCTTCGGAGCTCGGTCAAGTGATAAGAGGAGTGCAGCTAAGGTGAAGCGATGTGAACTTTGAGTCATTTAACCGTCTGAGAATATATGGAAATATTTAGTCTGTCCGGGTTCAAAGTTCACACAGTTGCTCTCTTTGACCAAGATAAAATGTATTGACCAACTTGCATCATCACCTGTATACTGTAGTGTCTCTCATAAATGTCCCTTCACTGGGAAGTGAAAAGCAGTGTACAATTGACAGGTAATTCTTTTATAAAAGTATTAAGTAATTACTGTGATCAGGAAGTTTTATAATGTTATCATGGTGCTTATCAGTCTGAGACTATAATCTTCAGTTGATTTGATTTGATTTAAACATATTTTATTCACAAATGTGAAAGGGATTGGGGACAAGTAATCCAACTTAAAATACCCGCTCCCTAATATTTACATACATACATTTCCAATTATATACATATTAGGAAAGAATAGAGAGAAGAGATAGGAAAGTTAAGTAGAGGACTCATGTGATCACACAAAACGTTTCGATTGATGAATAAAAGTTTGCACACCTTTAAAAACGTATTCATTCTGTTGAATGGTCATATCAGGACTTCCAAATAAGATCAATGACAATGTGATTGGAGAGTCTCGATTTACAATACTT